TGCAAGTTAAAACACACCCACACACCAAGCCAGCTACTATTACACCATCTTCTCTCCTAAAAGGATTTTTCTGTCCTGATAGACAACACTGCATGCAAGGTGAGGTTGGCCTAAAATTCCTTTTAGTCTGACAGTTTCACTAGCACAAGAGGCTGCATGAAAGAAACTAAACATCTGATCAAGTTACTGCGGCTTACAAGCTTCTAGATGTCAAATAATCTGGACACACACACAGTCCTGGCAAATGCAAAACCCCATTGATCATATAAATCAAAAGTTTCACTATCAGAGGTAACTAATTTAGACAAATGCTTTCTGCCATGGTGTTTTGTTTGCTAGTTTTTCTTAAGCTGTTTGTTATTTTCAATTTTGTTATTGGTTTGGGTTTTTTTGTTTCTTAATATACATGAGCTGCTCCTCAAAAATTCTATAGCAGTCAATAAATGTATGATAAACTGATTATCCTAATGGCCGACTATACAATTACCTCCAGCCACGATCTATTTACATTTCAAGCAAAGGGCAATCTGTCATTCCATGTTTCACTTGAGAGCTACCTTAAAATACATAATGAAAACTGTTTTCACTTGAAATATTCCATTCTGCATCTTAGATATAGCCCATTATGAGGTCCTGCCAGGACAGAAGAGTTATTTTAATACTTGAAAAGACAAAAATGCCAAAACCCAACTATTGAGACCCAAGATGTTTCTCCTTCCTCATCTTCGAAACCTGCCAGCTGATAATGAAGCTGTTTTCAAATCTTTTCAGACCCTGAAAATGTCAGTTGAAATAGCTATCACAGAGTGCCTTGTACCAAAGGTAGAATATCCACAGCTCCAGTCTGCAGCAAGCAGGACAACTGAACAGCCTTCCAGGCTTTCTAGCAATTCATAAAACCCATCAGCTTCTACAACAGACAAGACACTGAAATGGAGAGCACTGCTACCATCACAGCAGATCTCACACTACACATTTTTCAGGCCTACTCCATTATTGCATTTCTGCTCACACGGACAGAGAGAGTAACCACAGAACAGGATATATGACAGACACTACTCTGGTAAAATGTACCAGTTTGGAAAAATAAATTTAAATTTTAAAAACATAAATAACACAAACAAAAACCAAAACAAATTCTTTCTCCAGGTGACAAATTAATTTTTAATTAGGCCTTCCCACATTGCCCTGAAACACAGAGATGCTTGAATCTCAGCTCAAATAATCACTGCTACTTAACAAATCAACATAACCCTGTAACAGTCTACCAGATTTACAGCAAAGGGAGCCATTTTATTCCTCACCCAGTAGATAATCAGGATAAGAATGAAAGCAGGATGCAGGTTCCTATTGTCACAATAAAAACATTATAGTACCACCAGGAAACTTTTTTTTCTCTAAAGAGGTATGGAGCTTGCTGCTCTCAGTGTATCAAGCACTACAGACTGACTGCATGCTTGTAACAATTTATTCCACATTTGTACAAAAGGTGCATTTTTACTATCTATTTTCTTTGTAACAATCTCCACTGCCTATCACAACATGTGACTACAACATTGCAGTCATGCTTCCTCCCTCTCAGCCTGGCAACTGCAGACTCTTTGCAGCAATTATGCCAGGCGGGATGGGTGGCTGGAAGCTCCTGGGCCCTGCAACTCCCCACATTCAGTGAGTAAGAGAAATCTGTTTAAATCTAGCCAAGGACACACCTCCCCCAAATCATCCTCTGCTTATTTCACTCTCTGCACAAAAAATGTACTTGCAAGAGTAAAGTCTGACAACAGCCTCAAACATCAAACACTGAATACCAGAAACTCATTCAAGACAACTCGTGTGTGGGCACAGGCTCCTGGGACAAATCCCACATTCTCCTCAGCATGGCTGGGGAGCTTTGCATTGGAGTGAGTACCCCTGGCTGCTCTCATTATGACCACTGGCAGACTCACATCCTCAGCAAATATCCAGTGCTTGTTGTTTATTACCGTCCCAAGCTGGAAGTTTCTTGACTTACCCACTCCAGGAATCTTTCTCCATCCCTCCCACACTGATGTGCTACCCATGCTCACTGGCTTATGTACCAAGAAAGACAAACACTGGTTATGAAGCACTAGACTCAGTTTACGAGTTTTTAAGAGGACTGCCTGAAAGACACAGAACAGACCTACTGAATAAACAATACAGACATGAGTCTTCAAGTAGAGAGTGGCTTTTTTCTCTCTACTTATCTAACAGTGGAGACCACTACTCAGCACTGCTGATTACTCCTGCCATGCAGTACACAAGGTTTTCAGCAAAGAAATTCTATTAGCAATACCTCTGAATGTCAGTACAAATGAAGACTCAGCCATTATTTCCTTAACTATCTCCTTAACACCATGTGGAAGTTTTAAGTTAGCAGATATTACACAATGCAGACTAATGTGGTAACATGACTCTTCAAATAGCTCCTACCCCTCCTTGATTTTAGGGATGTTCTGGTTTTTTACAAGATTTTGAGGTGAAGTTGGAAAATGTAATGAAAGCACACGTGTGGCCCTTCATGTTTATGCTGTCTGTGGAATGGGTCCTGGTTCTAACAATCTTAGGCCAAAATACTGGAGGGAATAAGACACAGAAGCTTCCCCTTAATACAGAGCAAGCTGAGTATATTTTAAGAGGCATAATATCTACATTATATATTTGACTAATGTATCAGAAAGGCCCTTATATTGAACTGTGACACCTGGGGATGATACTTAGAAATCCCAGCTGTGCATTGCATTTTGATTCTCCATTCAAAGACTAACATTGTAAAACCTTCTTCAGTTAAAACAGAAAGGTCTGTAATTGTCAGAAAAAACAGCGTCCCTTTTTGCTCACTTTGTAAAAGCAGTTAATTTACCTGAATGTTTGTGACTCCTGCCATCATTTCTCTTCTTAATGGATGATATACAGGTTGAAGAAGAAAAATACATAAATCTATGTTCAAAACATGTTCAGTAGGATTTCGGTTTTTTTAATAAAAAATGTCTTGGATACACAGTACAGTGGCAGTCAGGATTACAGAACTCATTTTTCTGTTAGGGATTGTTTACATTTTATTGGTTTTTCAGCTGTAGTGTACTTGCAATTCACTGAAACAATCCTTTCCAAAACTCACTGTAACTGTGTGTAGATCAGCTTCCATTACTTCATACAAGCAGTAGAAGATAAACATAGATGTCTGTTTTCTAACTAACAGACCTCCTTCTATATTAACTTAACTTGATAATGTTGTTACAGTCTGAGCTGGAAACAGGAATCCTTGCAGGACCTAACCTACATCCAGGAACTCATGGGCTGACACTGAGCCAAAGAAAAGTGCTGGAAACTGGGTCACACTATGACATGTACAGGGCAGCAGGAGGGGATCCGAGCTGAGCCTGACCTGCTTATATTGGCAAGAGCACGAGAGATGAAAGAAACTGGGTGCATGGTGTGTGAGCTGCCCAAGAGCTTGATGAGACTTGAAATGAGATGGGGACTAGAAGAGGAAAGGAAGGTAACCAGGAAGCTCCTGTGCAGGGAACAGAGGCTGAAACTTCAGATCCATAGTCTCTTTCTGATCAATTACCAGTTAGTTACCAACTGAAATTAACAGCCTGGTGTAAGTTCAAACTCAAATATCATAACAAAGTAAAACCTTTCCCATGCAGATAGGCTCTTTCAGGATGAAAAGCACTATTTGATACAACTACAATATTATGAATAAAGACAAAAATAAAAGATCAACTTTGCCTTGCAAAGGTTCACTGCTAAAGCAAGTGAACAGTTACTTCTGCACACTTGCACGCTAGCAGAACAACTGTTTAGACAGGGACACTATACTCTGTTTATCTTCTGTTAACTGAAATTCATCCCTAGGGTTGCAAGGTTTCCCATCTGTACCCAAAAAAGATTCAATAGGAAAAGAAGTATTTATATTTTATATCAAGAGTTACCAGAAGTAAAATTCAAACCAGAGTGAAGGCCAGGCAAAGACAAACTTATGCTCCCTGTGGGAAGCTTGCAGAGGTGCCAAAATATACAGAGGAAGCAACATCTAAAAAACAAATCCCTGAAGACCCCCTACTTTATTTTTCAAAAGAAAAACAGAACACATGAAAAAAAGTTTCAGAAATTTCTTTGAATCTGCCCCAAAGTAAGCCAGAGTCTCTGGTTAAGTAACTGCAAGAATGTTGTGCAAGAACCACAGCCAGCAGTCAAAAAGCTGAAGTACCAACTTCCACACAAGAAACAGGTCTTTGTCACTGCCCCCAAGCCAAGGTGGAGCAGGAATATGGGGTGTGGGTGGCTGGGAAACCTTCAGATGTAAAGATCAGTATCTTGTAGATGGGATCCCTCCGTGTTAATATAAGGGTGGTATTACAAGAAAATATATTCAACACATGGAAACATATAACTTGCTGTGAATAATTAGATGGAATTTTGGCAGTAGTAGAATGGAAATTAATAAGGAAGAAGGCAACACAATCCAGGTAAACAAAGCTGAGCTTCATCTGAAGTCTCCCAAAAATGGAATGGCGGAAATAGTTTTGCAAAGACACCTAAACCTCCAAAGATTTACGAATGTCACAGTCAAAGTTTGCAGTTGTCTAATTTCAAAACAGTGCAAGTCCTGTAACTCTTCTCCTTCCTACTCGTCTACACCAAACTCGAACTTTTACCATAGAAGCTGTGAAACTTACGAGTTCTTCATGACAACAAATACTCTTAAAAGACAAGAAAAGAAAATAATTTGAGCTTGATAATCTGAGTTTTACACACTGTGTGTCATCACTTCATCGCCAAGGCGTGATTCGGAAACAGACACAGCAGCATGCAGCCAGGCTACTTACACTGTCTGGAAAAGTGCCCGCTAAGATCATGTTGCAGAAATAATTCACACCTGCAGCAAAGCTGCACAAAACATCACCAACTCGCCAATTTTGACAGGCATATGCCGACCGTGGCGGGGAGAAAGAGTTTCTATATAGACGAATATGAGCAATAAGTATGTAACCCCCTTTCCGCACCCCAAGCAAAGCCAGGCAGGACCCGAGCGCTTCACTTGGCCGTATCCCGCCACGGGCCCACCGCCACAGGGTCGCCCGCACCGGCCACGGCCTCCCTGGCCCCGAGGCGGCCTCGCAAAGGAGAAGGGGGCCCGCCCTGGGATGTGCCAGCGGAGCCGCGACCCTTCGGCCCGGCGGAGACTTCGACGCCCGGTTCGGCCCCGCTGCCCGCTCCATGCGCCCCGCTCCATGCGCCTCGCCCCACGCCAGCCCCGCTCACCCCCGCCGCGGCCGGGACCACCCCGAGCACGCCCCGAGGGGCGGAGGGGCCGAAACGCACACGCCGCACCCCCGCCGTGGGCATCCCGGCCCGGCCGGAAAGGGAGGGGAGCTCGGCGAGAGCAGCCCGGTGAGGGGCGGCCGGCGGCGCCCCCGGCCCGCCACGAGCCGCCCAGGGAGGCGGGGGTGGCGAGGAGGCCCCGGCGCCCTCCCCCGCCGAGCGGAGCCGCCCCCTCGCTGCCGGGCAGCGCCCCGGGGCACCGCCCCCGCCCGCACTCACCCGCCGAGCCCAGCAGCAGCCACAGCAGCCACATGGCCCCGCGCCGGCCGCCCCGCAAACTTCGGGGCTGCTCCGCCAGTCCGGCCCGACGGAGCCTGCGGCGGGGAGCGGCGGTGCGGGGGCCGGCCCGGGGGAGGGCCCGGGGGTGGCACCGCCGCCGCCGCCCCGCCCCACTGGGCGGCCGTGCCCACCCGCGGCTGCCGCCGCCCGGCCCGCACGGCTGAAGGGCCGCCTCATCTTCCTCTCCTCTGCTACCCATCAGACCCCCCCGGCCAGCTTTGACGGCCGGGTTGCGGTGGCATTGGCGTGTCTTACAACAAAGTCTGCGCTTGCCGTGCAGCGGCGGACGGGAACCCTTTAGGAACACCTAGAAGAGTTTGGGTCGGAGCTGCACCCCTGCGGACATGCAGGGGCATACGGCCTCGCTCAACACTTCTGCAACGACCAAGGGGCATATTGCTTCCAAAAAGCCTCCCCTTACATCTTCTGATGCATTCTCCTCTAAACTTCATTCCCTAACTAGAAGACAAGGTATTTCCATAGCCAGTCAGAATCACTTCTGAGATCATCAACTCCGATTTATGACCAAACACCACCTTGTCAACTAGACCTTGGCACTGAGTGCCATGTACAGTCTTTTCTTGAACACTTCCAGGGACTCCAGCACCTCCCTGAGCAGTTCATTTCAATATCTAATCACCCTTTCTGTGAGGAAATTCCTCCTACTATCCAACCTAAACCTCTCCTGACTCAGTTTAAGACTATGTCCTCTCATCCTGTTACTGGCTGACTGGGAGAAGAGACCGAGCCCCACCCGGCTCCAGCCTCCTCTCAGGCAGTTGTAGAGAGTGATAAGGTCACCCCTGAGCCTCCTTTTCCCCAGGCTGAATAGCCCCAGCTGCTCCTCACAGGACTTGTGCTCCAGGCCCTTCCCCACCTCTATTGCCCTTCTCTGGATTTACTCCAGCACCTCAATGTCCTTCCTGAATTGAGAGGCCCAGAACTGGACACAATACTCGAAGTTTGGCCTCACCAGTGCCGAGTACAGGGGGAAGTGCCAAGGACAAAGGAAAATCAGAGCCAGACTAGGCTTTACTATCCTAGTAAGGCTCTGAGACACAGCATTTGGGAAATTTATATTGCATTTTCAATCTAGTGGCCCAATCCTGACCCTGCTTGGTTTCAGTGGGAGCAGGAGTGGGCCTTGTTTCAAGGAACAACATTTTTCAGTATATGATGACCAGGAAGAAACCCAGATTACTGTGTGCCATTCTGCTTTCATGTAAAAATCATGAGTGGTTCATTAAGTGGTACTGTTTAGTTGTAAAATATTCCCCTGTGTGAGTGTCAAGGACATAAGTAGATCTGCATGCGTATAGAATAAAATTTTAACTCTCTAAAAAGCTTGTGGCATGTATTTAAGAGCTGGAGAGGAAGGCTTAGTGCAGAAGGTATTTTAGCTAAGAATTAAAGCCAGTTTATAGCAGTAAGAAGCTGCCAAATGATTTCTAAAACTATGCCCAGCTGATCTGCACAATAATAATGTTTCAAGCAGAATTCTTACAATTCATGTTTAACATACTCAGAACTTGTGGAGATTTACTGATAAGGGTTTCCCATCATTTGGAAAGATGAATTTAATTTTTTATTTAAAATAAGGCTTTTATGTGAATACTTAGATGTAGCTTCTATTAGTTTTTCAGTGGTATTTTAACCACTGATAGCTAATTCCCACATAGAAGTCAGCTTGGGAACTAGTTTCCAGAAGGGGGTCTGAGAAGGAGGAGTGGTTTCTGACTCCTGAGCGATGTGGCTCTGGGAATTTCCTCTGCCTGCCAGGACACAGATCTCCAGCTGCTGCCCTTCCTTCCTGGGGTCTGTGTGGCACCCCAGTGTGACCATCTCACCACCTGGTGGGCTCCTGCCAACTCACCCTGACTACATGCAGCAATTGGGGTTCAGAGGCAAAGCAAGGGGGATGGGAGCCTCCTTAGCAGTTCCCAAAAAGCAGGATCTTCTGGTTTGCTGAGATTAAGTGGGAAGCTCTTCATCTGTAAAAGCATTTTGTACACCACAGTTTCTTAGCCAGCACAGAATAAAAGGTCCAGTGTGTGTGATTCCTCGTTACCTTTTGGATGTTGGGCTGTGTGACTAAAAGTGTAATCCCTGTTAACACAAAGATTCAGGGAGAACAAGGACAGGAAGAGAAACCTCAGTAACATCGTCAGGGAAAATGGACCAGACAACACTGGCTGCTCCAAAGAACATCAGATAAAACTGATTAAACCTTGGTAGCTGGTGTGAAGCCTGCCAACAAACTGTCTCCCAGATGCCTTACAAACTAAAGGTGATTATTGCCTGTGGTATAGGACTCATGAAGGGATGCAATGGGAACAATATTTTGGGAACCTGCAAGATTTACTGTGCAATGTTTAGGGCAAAGAGCACAGGTAGGGAGAAGGAAATCTATGAGATGGGTTGAGGAGGAAAAAATGTGGGAAAATAAAGGGAAAAGAGGATGAAAGGGGCTGGCCAGATCTAGCTGAGCCCTGTGTTTGATCACCACAGCCTATCTTATATTCTAATTAAATCCTTTTTCTAGCTATCTTACATGTAGGTGCACTATCACTTCTGAGTGTTCTCTGTGAACACTCATGAACTTCCAGCTAGATTAGCCAACAAACAGTCTGAGTATGTGTAAGTGAATAGGACACAGGCCTCAGGTCAACAATACACACTCTGATTCTCTTTAGCCTCACATGAACTGCCTTCTCCTCTCTCACTAGGGCAGATTTCTGGGTTTGTCCCTCAAAGCAAGATGTGATCCCAGCTCTGCTGCAGACTTTGTACACCCACAAGCAAGTCACTCTTGTCAACCCATGCTTTGACTCTCAATGAAACTACCAGCCACCTACACCACAAAGATAAAGGACAAATAAATAATTTCAGATTGCTCAGAATGTGGCTAGATTCTGAATGGCTACCAGTAATGCAGCCTATAATCAGGAAAAACAAGGAATATACTCTGAAAAAGAGATTAGCTTCATAGTAAATTATGCTGAACTAATGACAAGCTGTCATAGGATCCATTCCGAGAAAGCCACATCTTTCAGCTGTGTGCACTGTGGTTAAAGGCAAGAAACAGAAATTTTCTTCAAACAAGCTTATCACAGAAGACTCATTGGTATTCCTACAAGATCACAGAATTACAGAATCACAGCATGGGTAAGGTTCAAAAGGACCACTGGTGGGACCATATGGTCCAAATTCTCCGCTCAAGTAGGATTTCTCTAGAACACATCACTTGGGGTTGTGTCCAGACAGCTTTTGAGTATCTGCCATGAGAGAGACCCCAGAGCTTCTCAGGGAAATCTGTTCCAGTACTCAGACACCCACACAGTAAAATTCTTCTATATATTCGGGTGGAACTTGCAGTGCATCAGATTCTGCCTGTTGCCTCTCATCCCAATGCTTGGAGCCAGCAAGAAGAGCCTGGCTCCATTCTATTGGTGACCCCCTTCAGATACGCAAGTACAGATACATTGATGAAATATCCTCTCAGCCTTCTCCAGGCTGAACAGGCCCAGTTCCCTCCTCCAACCCTTGTAAGAGAGATGCTCCAGAACATCCTTGTAGCCCTCCAGTGGGCCTGCTCAAGGAGCTTCATGGCCTTCTTGTACTGAGGAGCCCAGACTGGACCCAGTGCTCCAGATGTGGCAGCAGCAAGCCTGAGTATAAAATTGTTCTTTTTTAGGTTTTGCAGGTCATGGAGTATCTCCAACAACTCACATTGGAAGCCCTCTCAGCTCTTATCTAGGGGGACAAATGATTATTCCTAAGTACATTGCAGAGGATCTGCATCCCCAAGAGAACCTGACCTCTCTAGGAAGTACCAATTCTCAGCGTGTTGTAAGCTGAAGCTCAAATTTTTCATTTCTTGTTTCTAATCAGCTCAGTATACAACCCTTATTTATTTTCACAATCATTCTTATAAGGTAGAAGTTGATTTTTTAGGGAGCTGACACTGGTTTGAGGCAAAAGAGCAAAATGCAATAATCTCTCTAGGTACAATCTAAATTTGCTGACTTCCATCTGTAAATAGAACTCTGAACAAAATTAATACTAGTAGTTTATATGTGTCATGCTCAGTGACAGGATTGATAATGATGAAAAGTCAAGACTGTTGTAATTAAGGATAAAAATTTGTTATAATGTATTGCAATATTTTGTATGTGACAGAACTGCCACTTAGCAAGCCTGGGAGTTTGAAGCTATGATTAGCAACAGCTTTTTGAAGGATTCAATATAATAATAATCAAATTTTTAACACACTGCAGCAAAATTATAAATGTGGATCCAAATATATTTATGAACTTGTCATCAGCATTAGCATCTATCAAGTTAAACAGGTATATTAGCATATCAGCCTATATCCATCTATCCATGAGAATTCATCTTCATTATGGCTTTGTAATGTTCTGATCTCTAGTTCACCTGGCTGTTGAAGCAATATTCTCTCTGCAAAACAGGGTTGGAGATCAGTTTTTAAAGGAGGAGTCATACCAGGCATTCAAATTCCCTGAAATGACTCATTTGCTTCTCTCATCTTGACATGTGAAGGGCTAGTAGCTGTTTGCATTGGTATGGTCCTCATCACTGTGGCAGTTTAAAACATAAGGATCAAAACAAAAGTAAGGGACAGTTCTCAGACATGCGCAAATACATTGGCAGCCTTCTCAAAGAAAGCAAATTGAACTAGGATGGAGCACAAAAAGTGTGACAAGTCTCTCCTGCCCCCTGTGGACCATGGGCTCCAGAGCCTGCAGGGGCAGGATGCACCTGGGCAAACTCATGCATCTTCCCTTGAGCTCCAGCAGTACCAGCCTTGGATCCAGGGATCCACCCAACCTCCTTGGCCTGCCTCTGTGCTCTCAGGAGCACACTACTCACTGCTTCCTCAAGCATGCAAATGGTTAATTCTAGGACTGGTCTCTAGAGATGTGAGCTACTCTGTAGTTTGTGTACACAGAAGGGATTTAATAAGCCTCCAGAAGGAGTGTGTTATGATGGACCAAATCTGTGATCGTCTGCTAGTATGGATGAGGTTATCTTAAGCATGGAACTCTCTTCCTCCTCTCCTGCCAGATTCTGGGCTCAGCGAGTTAGAGAATCATAGCTTTCAATAGCCACTGGCTTTTCTGCTTTAGTGCTATGAAAAGGGGAG